GGTTGTTTTCTCGGCATGACTGCGCTGGCAGTCTCAAAATCTGCTTATTACTCAGTGGGACTGCGCTGGCAGTCTCAAAATCGGCTGGTTACTCGGCATGACTGCGCTAGCAGTCTCAAAATCTATTCGGTGCTACGTGCGACTGCGCTGCAATGGCAATCTAAAAATCGGCTCATCCAAGGAATAACATTCTGGTTCGGACGCAATATTGTGTGCTGCGCACAATCCGCCTATAGATACATTGCTCATGGGTATATGGTACAGAGTCAACCCTTAATTATAGTACGTGAGTGCATAGTTCATGGCCAATCATCAGGTCAAGCATGGAGCGCACAGATCAGATATGACATGTACACAACCCATGGAGACGGTTGAAAAGGAGCAGGGAGAGAGAGAGAGAAAGAAAGAAGAGAGAAGGGAAGATGAGAAGAGAAGGGATGAGAAAGGGAAAGTAAATGGCCAGTCCTGCCCCCTCCTTTCCTTATCCCTTCCCTGGCTTGCCTTCTGCTTGACTCCCTTGCCTCCCGCTCCGTGCTCTTCTCGCTCCTTGCCTTTCCGTCGACGCTGTCGGGCTACCACAAGTGAGGGTTCTCTCGCGCTGCCTGATGTGCCACGGGCATCTCACACTGATCTGATGTCTTGGGTGACGTTGTGAGGAAACCCGGGGAGGGGCACCTGCAGTTCCCTGAAGCCAGGGGCAACGACGTCTGTCACTCGCCGCGCCCGCTTCCGAGGTCCGCAGCGACCTGTAGGGTGTTATAGTGTTGCGCTACCTGTCAATCCCCTCCTTCAATGACCCACAGTTGATCGCTCATATCCCAAGCTCATTACGAGGGCAAAATAACTTGAACAGACAATAGAATCGAAACTGCTTTTACTCTCTTTCCAAGGCCCAGTTAGTCGAAAATTCCCCCCCCCTTTTTCACAAGCAGTCAACACAAGGCATAGTTTCAGGCTGCAGCGGCCTACCCCAGCACCGCAGATTAGCATGCAGTCGTTGTGGCTCGATTTAATTGATCTGCCTCAGAGTTGGCATCATATCAGCCTTCATAGTTTCGAGTAACCAGTTCAAATACTTGTAGTTCGAGAGCTCGACTTGAATGATCACCGAGGATAACAGCAATTCAAACAAGACCCGATTTCAGGAGAACAGGCGTGCATCCGTTCTCAATTACGATAAAAAAAAACAATAGATAAAACAAAAGAGAGAATTTTCAGTTTCTTCCCCTCTTTTCCCTTCCCGCTCTCGTCGCTGATCCCCCAGTCTTCTCCAAATAGCGTTGTCAGCAACATTAGGGTTCCAATAGTTTTCCCCCAACTTCACCCATCTAGCTCATCACGCTGCAATGTCCCCATATTGTAAGCCTACAGTAGACCAAGAGAGTTGTGCAATGCATCGTTGTCCTGCTGGTGAACAAAGGTATTCTGCTCCGCTCTTAGGCAGCAATGCCCGATGAACCAATGAACTCGATGAATTTTCCCTTCGGAGTTTATCAAACTCCCTCTCTCTCTCTCTTTCTCTCTCTCTCTCTCTCTGATAGTTGGCCCGCGACTACTTCGGCCATTGAACTCCAAGAACAGTCTCACAAGTGAGTGAAGAGATTCACATTACCTGTCTGGCCTGCCTATTGGGCTGCTGGGACGAACCGATCAGCGCTTGGCTTTCCTCATGTGCCTAACCAGCTCTATCGACTGATTGTTGCCCGCGAAGAGCGTCCTCAAGACGACTTCCCCCCCCCCCCTTGTGCAGACAACTGAAGTCGCTGACCAGTGCCCTGATGAGCCCGATGTGTCCGAGCAGCTTTTCCATGTTAATTAGTATCCGATGATCTTTTTCAGCTTGAACGACCGAAACGGCGCTGCGCTTGAACGGCTGATACGGCAGATCAGCGCCTGAATTCCCCAATGTATCTAAACAACTTTGTAGGGCAGATTAACGCCTGCCATATAAAATATACTCAAGTCGAACCCACAAGCAAGTCAGCCTTTAATTAGGCAGCGGCAACTCAGTCCCAGTTTTTCTCCATTCGAACGACCTCATGAAATGGCAAATCAGCACCCAGATGAGTCCAATGTATTCGAACTCTTTGCCCCTTTGCGCCACAGGAGACGTTCATCAACCAGTCTGTTCAGAGAAGACTGCGTCGTAATCTTGACGTGCTTCCCCCTACTTCTTCGACTCTGCATGCCATGCTGCAGGTCACATTGCGAGTATCGCCAAACAAGCTGTACTCGAGAACGGGTAGCAGGCACTGGGCACGCCCTCTGTCTTCCTCGGCCCGAATGACCTCCATTCCTGTTCGCCTCGTCTCCTTCTAAGTTTGGCCAGTTGTACTGCTCTTGCGCTGCGCACATCTTGCACGTCCAACCTCCCTCCAAAACGAGTTGTTCTCCGCGCGGTGCACAACTGGCGCGCTGCCTGCGTCCAACAAGCTCCCATAGCAACTACCTCCAAAGACCTCCACGCGGGTACACCATGCACGCATTGAGAAACCCCCTAACCATCGCTGAACTCGCCTATATCCCTGGTACCGGAGGCTGCAGCCTCCAGAGAGCTCCGTTACAACCAACTTTGACAGTCCCCACCTCGGTAATCGAGATAGTAGGACTTCAGGTCCGTAACAGGTAGTAAAAAAGGASCGGCTTCTTGCTCTGGTACCCGAGCCAAGGTCCACAAAGCAGCCCGCTGTTAGCATTTAATTAATATGTGATGCCGAACCAGGCTGGACTGCAGTACTATGGTCCCAACCTTCAACATTCTGATACAGCAGCGTGTCGATCCCGAACCAATAACCGTACGAATCCGAACCAGTTTTCCGTGCCTGAACCATTCCGAGTTACAGTGGCCAGTTGTATCCCGTTGTCCTTCCTATATCCGCAGGCTGTGGCCAACTGCCCTGCCTCCACTCCCTAGCATCTCAGTTCCCACTGCGGTTGGTGTCCCGACTGCAAGGTTAGGTCCTGCCTCTAGACCCAACAAGTCCAGATCACGTGCCACGGGGTAGTGTTGTGCCACTAACCAAGGGAGTGAAACCACAACTGCCTCGACATAGACCAGAGCGGCACACAGGGAAATACCAACGCCGTACCGAGCCTAAAAATAAGTGTTAGTCAGCGGCGCCGCATCACAGCCACTGTTTCAAATCGAACCCGCGGTTGTGGCCGGCCGTCTCAATAGTGGACCGAGGTTACCGCACCAACGCTGTCCCAACGATAGTACCGAACCAATGTGGCCACCACACCGTACCAAATCCGAGCCGGAATAGTCAAATACCAAACCCACTCGGTGCTGCATACCGTATCCGTTTCGGACCTGAATAGGTTGTTCCATATCGACCCCGGACCGATACCGGGCCCGAGTCAAGCCGACGTCGAGCTAGTACCGGATCTGACGTTGATAGCCGCAGCGGTCTCGAACCTGAAATAAACGGCCGTATTGGTGCCAAACCTAGAATGTACTGCCGTAGTGGTTCCGAACCCGAAACAAATGATGTCAAAGCTGAAACAATTGTCGTAGCCGTCCCGGTCCTGAAAATAAACCACAATAGCGTCCCCGAACCTGAAGTACGCTGATGCCGAGCTCATGCCGGACCAGAAAGAGATCCTCTTTGAACCATGTGTCCATACTGAACCAAATACCATACTGTCGGTCCAAAGTAGCACCACCCCATGCTGTCCATGCGACTCCCGCTCTCAGAACATCCCAACTGCGGTAATGTTAGTAATCAAGCAAACCAGCGAAAACGACGCAAGGATCCTCGGCCGTCGGCAGTAGTGAATACTGTTAGAATCGGGAAAAAAAATCAATCCGGGGTCAGAGCCGATGGCGGGTAATCGAAACGAAATTTAGCCGATCTCCCATTAGTCATGGGTTTCCGTCCCCTTTCATCGTTCTTAATCATTCTGCTTTTTCCTTAATTCCATTGTCTGAAATAGTAAATTAACCATAAATTTTCCAAAATTAAATTCCAAGTGAGTTTAAATAAATGGCCGAATTCCTTTCGTTTCATACTTTTTTTTTTCATTTTTAATATTTTTTGTGTTTTTAATTTCATTGCCGGTTACATAAAATATCAAGGATATTCCGCCTAGAATTAAATGCCGTGAAAAATAAAGAAATTAAGGGATATTATATTTTCCCCTTCTCCCCTACTGGTGTTAATCCTTTTTTCCCATCTTTAATTATGGCACCAAGAAAGACAAAAATTTAAGGCCTCATTTCGTCCCCGATCGTATGTTGCAAAAGCGTCGCGGCGAGGTCTGCCCCCTCGATGCCTTCTCGCGGCAGGCCAAACCGGCTCCAGCCTTCTGAACGGCCGAAAATGACGGTCTCTAGATACGCCGAGTCCGCCCACCCATCTCGCTATCTTTGAGGGTTAGTCGTAAGGTTCAGTGTGCCCAGAATCAGGGGTACCCTGAGTTCCCCTAATTTCTGCTGCCCGGTCAAACCAGAGTACCGTCAAAACACGGACTTGCCCTGGAGCCTAAGTCCTAAAACCGCAGATTTCAGGCGGCGCACTGCTTGTGGCCGCCTGACAGTTAGCCCGGACCACTTCTCGACGCCCCCGTCGAGCCCTAACCACTTTCGTCAGACAAAGCGGACGAGCTTCAGGGTGATTGTCCGTAAGGGACGCCCACGTCGGCGTTCAATTGTCTTATGTTTCAGTTTGTTTTGAGTTCTAGGGCTAAGTAGATATTTTTTGACTTTCCTTCTCCGCCGGGTTCTCGGCTTAGGTAGGATCCTCTTTCCCTTCTGTCGTTGGCCCGAGAAGGGTGTCGTCCCGCCAGTTTGTTTAATGCGGACTCTCCGTCTGACCCTCCTAAGCACGAATAACCATTTCTTCTCTCTCCCTAATGCCAACCCTTTGACCTTTCTTCTCTCCACTCTTTTTCTCTTCTTGGAACTTTCCCCTGCCTCGAATCGTCTCAAGGGGGCTCCACTTTCCATTTTGGTTTTTCCTTTCCCTTTCGGGCTTGTTAGTGATAAGGTGGGTGCAGGCCTGGGTCTAAACAGCTTTAGCCTAGCACCCGCCACTGGGTCCTTCCACTTGGATCCGTCCAATTCTGCTATCATATGTGCTCCCTAGTCGAGTGCCTCAACCACTCTGTAAGGTCCCATCCATCTGTTGGCGAGTTTTCCGGTCCAGGTCCTTTCCAGCGCTTCGTCGTAGAGAAGAAGCATATCTCCTACGCTCACCCTCTCTTTTCTGATTCTCACGTTCTTATCCCATCTCTCTTTACCTTTGTCCCTTTCCACTGCCAGACGATCCGCCGCTGTCATAAGGTTATCTTCCAAACCGTAGGCTATCTGTCTTGTTCGGGCAGCTATGTGTTCCTCTCTGGACATCTCCTTCGCCCAGTCGACGGTTGTCCAGCTGTCAACATGAAACTCTATGGGAAGCGGACAATGCCGCCCAAACCACAAGGTGTATGGTGGGTATCCGGTACTAGCCCGGACCGTGACGTTGACCGCCCATATTGCGTATCGAAAATATCGTGGCCAATCACTGTCCTTACCCTTGCACCACTTGGACAGTGACGTTATCAGAGTCTGGTGGCCCCTCTCTACTGGGGAGTTCGACTCTGGGTGATAGGCGGTGGCTATCGAAACTCTCGCCCCGGCTCTCTTGAACACACTCTGAACCTCGTCAGCTAGAAACTCCGTCCCTCTGTCCATCACTATCTTGCTGACACAACCACACCTAGACAAGTACTCCAGGACGAAGTTCTTCACTTCCTTTGCCGTCTTACTCCTGATAGGTCTACCGTCCACGAACCCAGTGAAATCGTCTCGTATRTTCACGATGTAGTTCATATTGCCTACTCGTTTCGGCATCTTTACCAGATCGATGTGTACCTTCTCTCCTGGTCTGGTGGGATAGGATGGATGGAGAGGCTCTTTGTATTTCACAAGAGCTCTCTTCTGGCATTCCTCGCAGGTCATACAGTACCTCTCGACGTCCTTATACTGTCCTTCCCACCAGTACAACCTGCGTTCCTTTTCGTCGGTTCTTTTAACTCCCCTGTGTCCTCCGACTACCCCGTTGTGAAGCTCCGCAACTATCATCTGTCTCTCCTCAGAGTCACAGACTACTCGTAAGGGCATCCCCGAGTCGACCGGCCTTCGAAATAGATGGCCGGCTCTAAGGCAGTACTGCGCCGCTTGTCTCCGGATATCTGATTCTCGACTCTCCTCTCCTGACAGGTGTAGCCCGATCGTTCGGTACTTGCCCTCGTAAAGGTTAACCAGAAATCGTTCGGCGCGTCTTGGCTCTGCCAATGTCAGGACCCCAGCTACTATCGGGCGCTCGGCCTCAAGAGGGATGCGCGAAAGCCCATCTGCCACGGCATTTTTAGTGTTAGATATCCTCTCAACTGTGTAATCATATAGCCGAATCCGTATCAGCCATCGAGCAATGGTCGGGTCCGTCAGGCTAAAGTCCTTCTGGAGGACAGAGGCAACCGATGTGGGATTTACTCTCAAGGTGAACCGACGCCCATAGATATAGTGTCTGAACATGTCCAGACACCGCAGAACGGCTAACACTTCCTTCTTGAATTGACTGTAGTTTCGTTCTTCCGTATTAAGTGTCTTACTCTCGAATCTTAATGGTCTTTCCTTCCCTTCAGCGTCCTTTTGAGACAGCAACCCTCCAACTAAACAAGGTCCAACATCCGTGGATACTATGAAGGGTCTTTTGGCCTCATCGTCGAAGAATGGCACGCCCAGTACGCGTCCTCCCTCCTTAAATTCGTCCTTAAGCTCTTGCATAGCGAGTTCCTGTGAGGAATCCCAGTAGAATTTTTCAGTCTTTCGTAGGAGTAACCTCAATGGCTTAGCCTTCTCCGCATACCCCCGTATGAATATACGCCAGCAACCGACCACCCCCAGAAACTGTCGGACCTCGGTTGGACTATGTAACGGTGACGGCCAGTTCAGGATTTTGTCTAGCTTCGTCGGATCTGCTCGACGTCCTCTCGAGTCACAGATAAAGCCCAAGATCTTAATAGTCGAGACGACCCATCGGCTCTTTGTTCCGCTGACCGTTAAATTCGCATCGTCCAGCTGCTCAAGTACCGCAAATATATGTTAAGTGCTGCTCGATGAATCTTCTAACTCCTGGTGCAACCTCTGTCTCATCCTTGTTTACTGACCCTTTAATAGGAAAGTCATCCAGAAAAACTTCAACCTTATCAGGGATGAAGTTCTTGAGGACGGCAACCATGACTCTCTAAAAAACGGCTACCATATTAGTCCAACCCATAGGGACAACCATCATCTGTATTAGTCCCAATGGCGTGTGCATAGCCGTGAGGTGCCTGTCCCTAGGGTCAAGCGGTACCTCATCATAGCCTAAGAACAGATCGCAGACCGAATAAATCGACCTGCCTTCGGCCAGTAAGTCGATGTGTGGCACGGAGCCCACGTCTCGTATCGTCACCGCGTTGACCTTCTGAAGGTCCTGAATCCATCGGAACTTGAACCATCGATTAGCATAGGCGCTATCAGACGGCTCCGCAACATGGAAAACCATCTTTTCTTTCAGGAAAGCGATAACTTCTTCCTTCTCCTTCTGGGCGTATTTCCATCCTGCTTCATTCCAAGGAACATGTGGAATCGTGTAAATCCTTGCTGGCTTAGCGTATCGAGGATCAACCCTACCGCGCTCTGCGTCGATGAAAGCTATTTCCTTATCGCATGTCTTCAGGATTTCTATCACACGTTCTCGCTCCTGTGGGGTCAGATTTTCATCCCCGATGTCCATCCCTGCTATCCTCTCTTCCGTTAGGCGTTGCGGCTCCTTTTTCTCCCTTTCTTTGATTTCTTTTGCGATCTCTTCTTCCGATATCCCTTCCAGTGCAGATCGCTCGCGGCTCACCGCCGCGGGCTTAACTTTTTGTGCTACTCACTTGTGTCGCTTGAGTAGTCCCCCATAGGGGGCCGTGCCCTTAAAAAAGACACAGATACCACCCCGCCAAATTCCTCATCTGTCTCCTTTGGGTACGAGTTGTCGTCCACTATCAGCCGACTCCCTAAATTTTCCATCTCCACGATCCGACTTTTTTCCTCTGTAAGCAGGGGTCCGTACTTCTTCTCGCGAAATCGCACCGCGCGGCCGGAGATAGGTAATGACTTAATCTGATCACTGGGTCTTGCACCCACAGCGAGAGTTGCTCTGTTCCTCGGGTCCCGAGGCTCCACCGTCTCAATCACAACCCGCGTCCCATCTAGCTTCTTAATGGACAATGTCTGGCTCCCATCCACTCGCTCTATCGTCACCGCATGCACGTGGCTCAACCACGTTCGTCCCAAGAGCAGATCAGAGTTGCAGTTCTTGACTGCAAAGACCGGCAGCGTCACTCGTACGCCTTGGACCTCTATGGCTGCCTTGTGGCAAACCCCGGTGATCTGTTGCTTTCTCCCATCAACCGTCTCTATCTCGAATAGGTATGACCTATCGAGACCCAGTCCAACCTGTACTGCCAGATCCTCGTCTATAATGACAGCCTCACTGCCGTTATCGATCACAGCATCTAGTACCGCTCTATCGTTTATGATTGTCTCCACGGCCTCACTACCAAGTATGTAAAACTTGTCTGGAGGCACACCTTCCATCCCATCAAGAAGGACTGTCGCCATGCGATCCGCTCTGGTAGTCACCCCCGTTACTGCTACAGTAGGAGCATCCGCCTTAGGGGCCCCCTGAGCCTCCTCCGATAGAGGTATGTGAGTCTTCCGCGTGATCATCTGTAACTCATCGCGAGCCGGCTTGGATGCCGCCAGATATTCTAGAATAGAGCACTGCATGGGCTGCCGAAGGGCCCGCCTCAGTGGCTCGACCGTGTCAATCTCGTCCAACGAACTCTTCATCAAGAATTTATTCACTCCCCGCTTCCGCAACGAAAGAATAACCTCCTCTCCATCGATCCGTTATCCGTCCTTCTCCGCCATCACGTAATCCGTGTCAGTCTTCTTCGATGTACACCCTCTCGCCGATCTGGTGGCTGCCACCCTTATGGGTGTGGTCGCCATATCCCCCTCAAAAGTTATCTTGATGCTCTGGCTCCTGACCGGCTCCTTTCCTTTACTCGACTTTACTCTCCTTGCTTCGACATTCTTCTTCATCGAAGGGAACATTGATACATCTCCCAGATCATCTGCCCACTTGACGTACTTGCGATCGTCAAGCAGGACAAGTCCCTCATCTATTGCTCGTTGAAGGTCCGGGCAATCTCTCTTGATATGATCATCTCCTCTACAGTAGACGCAAGAGTTCCTGGGTGTGGGTGGCCTGTCGTCTATGCCTCTGGAGGTCGAACCTCTCGCTGCTCTTGGGTCAGGGGACTTCGGATACGGATCAGACGACGCGCCATATCCCCTTCTCTCATTCCTACCGCGCGAATCATTGCGGTGGTCTCCGTGTTCGTATCCCCCGCGTGAATCATCACGTCGGTCTCCTCGGTCGTATCGCCCGCGTGAATTATCACGTCGGTCTCCTCGGTCGTACCGCCCGCACGAATCCTCACGTCGGTCTCCTCGGTCGTATCGCCCGCGTGAATCATCGGGTCGATCTCCCCTCTCATACCTGCCGCCCCTGTAATTGTCTCGATCCGACCTCTCATATCTGTCGTCTCTACGTCCATCGCGGTCCGATCTCTCATATCTACCATCCCTGTATCCGTCTCGATGTGACCTCTGATATCTATCGTCTCTATGTCCATCCCGGTCCAATCTCTCATACCTACCATCCCTGTATCCATCTCGCCGGCCCTGATCCGACTCCCATCGGCCTTGAGAGTCACCTCTACCCCCGTCAGGCTCATAGCGAGGGCTACAAGAGTAGTCATTCAGTCTCCTAGCACGCCCATACATCTCGCGGGTCCTGCAGTCGCGGTCTATCTCATCATCCCTACGTTGCCATGACTCATCGTCTCTCTCCCTTTCCCTTGCACGATAATCAGTCAGCGTTCGAGGATTTCTATCCTCGACACTCCTCCAGGAATCAGTGTTCCTCCGGTCCCAGCGAAGTGAATAAGGTCCTCCGGGCTTGTCTTGGTATGTCGTGGGTCCTGTGGTGGTCACAATCTCTGTAACCTGTCTTGTCAATCCCTTTACCATGTCCCTTATCTCCTTCACTTCCTCGGCGACGACTTCATTTTTCTCCGACCAGGGATGGTCCTTGAAATCAGGACATCTATCGGTGGCATACTCCTTGTAGAGAGAAAAGTCACGTCTCCTCATCCCTCTCCACACCAAGTCCTTGTAGTCGTCTGCCTCTGCCTTTATCGTGAGCTTTAGGACTTCTGGGAAGTCAAGCTTGTCGCGCGGAAGATCTCTAAGTACACTCTTTTGTCTACCTTTGGACAGGTGTCCGATGAAGATAGTACAACGCTCGATCTCTAAGATCTTCCTCTTCTTCATCAGCACGTCAGAGATCTTCTGGAAACGCATCCCAAATGACCGTACGCTCTCATCTTCATCTTGAGTCATCGTTTCAAGGTCCTTGATGGAGTACTTGTTATCCTCCAATTTGTAAAGCTCAACGAGGTTCTTCTTGTACGTAGTCTATTTCTCATCCTTCGGTCGAGCTTCCTTAACTTCCTTACCGAGACTTGGGTCCACATTAAATAGGAACTTCTCTATAATCTCTTCTTCCGACCACTGACTCCGGTTAGCGTGAAACTCCCACTTCTCCTGATATTCTGTAATGCCATAGCCCTTGAAAGTAGGAGGCTCTAAGGCCTTGTGCGTAATAATATAGCGAGCCTTGTTCTCGTAAGGGAGTGGGTGTGATTCCCCCGTTTGGGGGTTGAAGACACGCCGCGGCGGTGCTCTATCTCTATCTTTGTCCCTCCAATAGGAGTCCTTCGAACTCTCTCGCCAGTCGTCCCTGTGCTTATCCGGCATGGTTTCCCTCCGCTCATACTCGGGGGAGCGTCGTCTCGTCGCTTCTCGTCGGCCGCTCGAGGTTCCTGTCTTTAGAGTCTCCTGCGGCTCTGTCACGACCGGCTCACCAATTACGTCGAGCTCTCCGTCATTGGTTTGGTCAGCCCATCTCAGCGGTGCTTCCCGCCTAATCCTTTCCTTCAGATCCCTCAACGGACGGTCGGGCGATGTCTTGTACTCCTCCCTCGCTTCGCCCGTGATCGGTTGTGGCCCCATCGTGTCTGGTTCCATGGGCCACCAAAAGATGCAGTTGGGCTCTCACCCCGGGCGTTGCAGCCCGGACCTATGACAGTTGTTGCAGCCCGGACCTGTGACAAAACTCGCAGCCCGGACCTGTTTTTTTGTCACGCTTCACGCTCGTCACCAACCCTAACTCTCAATTGCCCTGATCACCACCACCAGTACTCAGTTCCGGTCGCGGATCTCGTGCTCTCCTTCTACCCCAAGAATCCCTGTGTCTAGGTAAACCTCTCCTTAGGGATCGGCCAACAAGGCCGCGCCTCTCCGGATCTGCAGTACACCTATGGCAGGATCTTTACTCCTGCGGCAGATCGCGGTCCCAAACCTAACCAGTGTCTCCTGATCAGCACCCCTCAAGAGCCTCCGAGCGTCTATCTCTGTCCTCTCTGCTAGGTCTCCTAGCCCGTCCTGAATCGGGTAGCTCGCTAAAGGAGGAAGCTCCCCTCCTACTGCCATCCAAAGTCGCTCGTTGACCTTTCTAGCTTCCACTATTCTTCCAAGAGCTTCCAATCTCTATTTCTCCTCCTCTAACTCCCAGATAACTATGAGGTCATCTGTCTAGCACCTGAAGTAAGTCAGTGCTATAACCACTCGTAACCTCATCGCCGACAACTCCAATATCTCATAGAATGTCTCAAAGTCCTCCTTATCTCCACTATCCTCTATGACCTCTAAGATCTTTATCGATTCCTTCGAGTACCGATCGTGAGCGGCTAGCACCCTGAGTATTGCACCGTCTGTTACAACTCCCCCTAACTCTCCAGCTTTCCTGGATTCGCTTATCTTCAACCTCTCAGCCTCTCTGGTCGTCTCGTACCATGCCCTTATCCGAGACCGCCCTTCGAAAGATGTCACTCGGAGTACGTATTTTATCCTTCATCCTCTTTCTAATCCAATCCAAAGTCCTGTCCCCCTAGCCTCACGCAGCGCACGGCGGACACACTCTACCTCCTCGACTATGTACAGTCTGGTATGGAGCTGGAGCTCTACGATCACTAACACCAACGGTCCGTCCAGTCTCCCTACCACATGCAATGAGTACCAATCCGTCGTGTGTAGTGCAGTCCCGCTCATGTCCTGTCGCTACCTCCCTGCGTTACCTTATCCTCCGTTGTCACGCCCTCTGCAGACTTCTCCCCAGTTCCTTCGCGTGATACGCTCCTAGCCTTTACCCTCTCCAGAAAGTCTGATCTCCACGCATGGATAATCTCTCTTTCCTCCCTAAACAAACTCTCTAACTCTCTCGTCACGAGCTCAGCCCTACGCAACTTGCCCTCATCCTGACACGACCAGATCTCCCTCAACTTGTTCCCCAACTCCTTCACCCGGTTCAAGAGTGGCCCTTTAATGCGATCTCTCACTCTTTCGACTGCCTCACTCTCCTCTTCCATACTCAGTCCTCATCTCTTTCCAGGTCATCCTCTCACCCTCGCTCTAGCCGCCGCTACCTTCCCATCGTGGAAGTGCTCCGCACGCATATAACCATGTGACCATATCATCACCTCATAGGAAATCGAGGTCTGGAAGGTCACCCGTGCCAGTACATCGGCTCTATGCTCGTGGATCAAGTCTCTGGCTCGTTGCCGACACTCCCTCGTCGTCAAGTCCTCGTCTACGTACGCTCGGAGAAGTACTGTCACAGTGTACTTTGTGCTTACCTGTTGCTCTCCTACACGCATTACTGTGGCCGTCCTCCCCGACATTCCCTAAGCTGCGGCCTCGAAGAGAAACCTTCCTCTAGCCTCACGTAATCGATCTACGCCCGTCTCCTGCAGTACCTAATCAGATCGACTGGCCTCAGACAGTCCATCCAGCTAGTAACGTCTATGATGTTGTCAAGCGTCTCTCTACTCGGCGCTCCCCACCTCACACAAATGACGTAGTATACTTCCCTGAAACGGGGCGCTAAGCCCTCCCAGAGCGCGTAAAGTGTGTGGTCTACTGCTTTACTCAAACGTTCTACGCTCCCATAGGTCTGCCCTATCACGAAGGTAGGAAGTCCGAATCGCCAATCCCCTCTCTGATAGAGGGTCGGATGCGGAGGACCATATACCAAGCGGCTCCAACGCGTCCTCCCTCCAGAGAGTCTCGCTAGTTGCTGATTAACGATCACTCTGGCCAACGACTCACTTCTCCACCAAGCCCTGCTTGCCCCTGCAAGCGTCAGTCCTACCTCTAAATCGTATGCTCTATCCGCTATCAGATGTCCGACCCCTTCTAGATCATGAGTCATCTCGGGTCGTTCGTCTCTCAGTATCACTGTCCAAAGGAAGAGTCCCTCTGCGAGCCACGTTCCCAGGTATCGTATCGGAACACTCCCTGTCCCCTCTAACGCCACAGGAAGAGGAACGTCGTATCCAACCGCCATCTCTCTGGGTCTCACAAGCTTCCTCACACTATATCATTCGGACTCTCGTGAGAGAACATAGGCTAACCAAGCTACCGAGTCACTCCTCATCTCCTCTCCATCTCTCGATCTGTAGCGCTCTAATCCCTCCGACGCACCCTATCTCTCGATGTTGCCGACTCCTCAGACAACTCTCCCACTCAGATCCAGTACAGCCGAATAGGTGTTGTGCACTCTCCCGTCGGCTCCATGGAAGTAGATAGTGAACTCGATGTACCTCTGTCCTCTCCGTATCTCCAGGGCATGCTCCGTCATGAGCTTAACCTGTCGCTCAACATTGTCCAATGCTTCATCCTCCCATCCTCCTGTCCTATCTCGCCGTAGGGAAAGAGTCACCCTAAGTATATCCCGGTCTGCCATACTCTCCACTACTCCCTTCTCTTAACCTCACTCGGATATGTCCTGCTTCTAGTTGTCTCATGCATCTGGCATATCTTCGTCTGTATCCTCATCTACCCTCTGTCCCCATGGAATATCCTCATGTCCCTCGGTCTGAAGGAGATGTCCCTAGTCGCCCTCCTGGTCACCCCAAGGGTCTATGTGATCGAACTCCTCCCAATCCCGATCCTCACCGTACCACGTAAGATCGTCTGCCCCGAGATGTACCTGCCGGTAATACTCCTCAACCTCCCCAGTCAAGATGAGATGGTTCGGCCTCTCCTCACGAATCTCGGCTAACAGTTGTCCTACTCCAGCTAAATGATCTGTAGGTTTCCGAGCCTCTCTCTCTAGTGCCGTCCAGAAGGCTAGGGGCTGGTACAGATAGTATAGGGCAGGGCTCCCGGTAGGTACAATGGCCCGCAGGAACTCGATCAACTGGAACCCTCGCTCGCCTACAAGCGGCCCTGCTACAAACTGTGCATACAACACCCAATCCCTGTCAGTGTACCCTCGGCAAAGGCCGTCCAAGTCAAGAGCCGCAAAGTAGATCTCACCCAGACGTCTAAGTCCCCAAAGCTCCTCCGCCACGAAGCACAAAAGTGTCACACGCAGCCGACTGCTAGGATATGGGAAGTGTCATCCAATCCTCAAGGTCGTCATCACTCTCCGAACACCCTCGTGCAGCCGTTCTACCTCGCCCCGCGCGGAATCCACTCGGGCCAGTAAAATCCTCCTCGCGCTCTGCTCCTCTCGCCAATGATCGTGCACGATAATGTGAAAATAGACTATGGCTAGCACCTCTCGCGAGTAGTAAATGTGGCCCACTACCTCTATACTAGTCGTGCCTGGTCGTCGCCACCTTTGACTGTCTAGTTCAAACGTCTCATGGCATACGTCCACAAGTGCACGTCTGGGCCCAAGACCGTCGATGACCATCGGCTCTCTATCACATCCGCGGAAACCCCTCTGGCCGGCAGATCTAGCGACACCCTGCCTGGCGCTACTGTCTTCGGAGGCCTAGGCCATCTAGCGTCGTCGATCTGAAGCTCTACTCCACGGACCTGCTCTACCATCGATCCGCTCTCCACTCTCCGCCGATATCAGTAGCTAAGGCTCACCCTACGCCTGGACTGCTACTCCTATCTTGGGGAAATGGGCGTCCGTAACGTCAATCTCTTTCTCGTCAACCTCACTCTCTGGGTCGACCCAGTCTGGCTCCCAGGCGTCCTCGTCGTCCTCTCGCTCCCAACCCTCGTCGTCAAACTCGTCCTCGACACGGTATGGCGTCTGTCCTATAGCCTGGTAGTACTCCGCCAACCGATGGCCGTATATCAGAGGTCGCCCGGCGTCCTCACTCTACCAGCTCCCCCAGTCGTCTGAAAAGAGCCGCCCGATCCAGGTCACGTATTCGGGGCCTGCTCGGAGCTCACGGTCTAGCCAATCCCAAACGCACGGAGACTAGGTCCCTATCTAAGAATCAAAATTAGAAGGTCTTCACCTTCTTTCGCCATCTTTCTAATCCATTTTCGTATTTTTTAAGGAATTTTAACGTATTTAAATTAATAAAAATTACCTTTAACCTTCATAAACCTACAGGCCCTCGACCACT